AAAGAGTGTAGTCAATAGCAGTCAAAGACACATATACCCCGACACGACACAACACAACAATGACAACATAACACAACACAACTCGCTCTCACTATCGATCAATATAGAGAATTCGAAGTGGAATCATAAACTGCACAAACCAAAAGTTGTCGTGCACTGTCATGGAAGAGGAAGAACCGACGCAGCAACGAGTCACTCACTCGTCGCTCGCGACCGAGTCACTCACTTCTACTCGTTCCGAAACCCTAGCGCTCTGCTCTTCGCTTCCGCGCGACCACTCTGCTCCTACTCGTACGCTGCGTTTCGATCACTGTTCCTTCTTCTCTCTCTTGTTTTGTTGAAACTAGTGAATAATGAATGGTATTGTGTGTTTGATGCCGTAGATATGAAGCAGCAGCAGCAGAGAAGCTATGCTAAGGTTGGTGAAACTGAGAATAAGGTTAGAGCATTTCTGTGTTAAATTGTTATCATTATTATGTTTGATTTTTAATTGAGTCGTGGATTTCGAACCTTGTTTTGTTGTTGTGATTCTTTTGATTCTTCTAGTGTTCTGCTTGGTCTTGTGCCCTTCGATAGGAAACCCTCAATTTCATAAATGGTCCTTAAAGTAAAAACTTAAAGTAAAAAATTGTATAAGTGACCCTTTTAAATATTAGAGATCATAATAAATAGCCATCCAAGTATTGAAAAATCCATAAAATTGGTCCTTAAAGGTTAGTGAAAATATATAAACTCCGTGACTAAAGTCATTGATATTTGATAATCAGACGGATTACTTATATAATTTTATTATATGAGGAACTAAACTCGAGAGAGAATAATACATGAAGAACTAAATTGATGGGTTATTCTACAAGTGTTTCTGAGCCATTATTCTATTGGTGCTTCTTGTTCTTATGAGTTGCTGAAGATATAGGTTTAGGATGCATTTGGCTAATCAATTAAGTGCGTATTAAATAAGCGTTTATTATGTCAGTAGCATGGGCCGAGCCAGAACTTTGTGCTGAGGGGGCCAAGATTTTTTTTTTTTAACACTTATATGTAAATACTCTAACATCATAAATAGTTCACTATTATTTTTATTTTTTTTATCTTTCTTTTTATCACATTATATATCAATCCTACATATATTTTTAAATATTTCTATCTTTTTTTTTTCATAAGTGTAAACTAACATGATAATTTTCATCAATCAACCTATAATATATATTTTTTTATTAATTTTGGGGGCCATAAAAATAGTTTTAAAACTCCAGGGTCGCTCCCTCCCTCCACCCGTTATGTAAAAGTTGTTTCTCTATTTGAAGAAGAAAGAGTTCAACTGTCTTCATATAAGATGTAAGTTATTTTAATAAGCTATTAAGGAGAACCTATTGAAATAAACAAGAAACAACTTATAGTGGACGTATCTCATGCTATTTTCACAAGTTCTCTGGAAAATATACTTATATCATAAGATGAGTCTAAATAAGTTGTAAATAAGCTCTTTTAAATGCACCCATAGTGGTTTGTGTCACTGTTTTGAGAACTTGGCATTTTGCAGGGATGTGCAATTTGAAACTCATGAACTCCTTGAAAGTTATATGCCTTTTTGGTCCTTTAAAAATCATTTGTAGAGGCTTAGAAACTTGGGGTTACGTGAAACTTCAAAAGAAAATGAGAAGTAAACTCCAGGTTCTTGGTAATTTGTATTAGAGCCTCCATGAACAAGTGGATGGGAGTTTGATACTTCGATTCATGCTTTCCCTTCATAATTAATTTAAATTTCATTAGAACAAAGCATCCATGGTTCTAGGCCGACGGGGTCCCGGGGATCATTAGAAGGGGGTGTGTTAGAGATATGAATCATTCCTCAATTTTCACATAAGAGCTTTTAGGGATAATGAGTCTTTGAAGAGGTCCTGATTTTGTAGTTTGGCTTCCCGTCTTGATTCAGCCTAGATGCATTAATGATGTATCAAGAGTCTTATTTTGGAATGTGTATGATTTTATGAACAATATAGATTATACAATGATGAATGGTGATATGAAACTGCAACCCATAAAACTTTCTTAAATTCGTAGTAATATCTCTCCTAGGTTGGAACTCTAGTTGCATTTATTAATTAGTAATTTGATTGCTTTCTTGCTGAACCACGCAGAACACAACCATGAAATATTTTTGGATTCAAATTAAGCACAAAAAATTTGCATGTTCCATTTATTTGGCTTCTTTAGCACTGAAATGCACCATTTTATGGTTAGGAGTCAGCTTGGCCTCCTGTTGAGGAAACAATTGTAAAAAGGGCAGTTGAGGCACCTAAAAAACAGACAGAAAATAAACTTAAGGTGTCTGTTTGTTCAACTTCATTGTCTGAACTATCACCAACATCTGTATCACAGTCTTTATCATCTGCCCCATGTACAACCATTCCAGAACAGAGACTGTCTTCTCCTAAGGCTAATAGTGTACAAGTGCCAGAAGTAGACGAAAGAACTCCTTGTGGTGGTACAACCTTATCTTCTGTTTCTGTTGCAAGGGAATCTGCATCTGAATCTGATGGATACAACTGGCGGAAGTATGGCCAGAAGCAAGTGAAGAGTCCTATGGGTTCTCGAAGCTATTACAGGTGTACCCATTCAAATTGTTCTGCTAAGAAGATTAAATTTTGTGACCATTCAGGAAATGTGATAGAGATTGTTCATAAAAGTCAACATAGTCATGATCCCCCACATAAAATTGATTTTGCTAAGGAAAGTAAGTTCCTTCCCTCCAGTGAACCTAAAGTAGAAAGCAGTGTTCCAAAGCAGTCAGTCAGAGTTCTGAATGATTCTAATCCATCATCTTCTCCGAAAGAACCACCTTCCAGTGCTGATAAGAATCTAGAAAACTCATCTAATGGTGAGAATGGTAATGTTATTTTGAAGGAAGAGCATGTTAATGTCACAAAGCCAAAAAGAAGGCAAGTTGCATGTAAATTCAATTTTTTTTTCATAGGAAAATAATTTAAAGAGTAGGCACTTTTTCTCCTGATTGTGTTTTGATATGATGGCCTAATGCTCTTCTCCTTAACATGATAATTAGATTGGACAAAGGTGATTTAGCATGCATGGATTCAGCAGTAAAACCTGGAAAGAAACCAAAGTTTGTTGCACATGTGGCGGATGATGAAGGGATATCAGGTGATGGATATCGATGGCGCAAGTATGGACAAAAATTGGTGAAGGGGAATCCATACATCAGGTGCATGGCTATATATTTCTTGCTTTCTTTTCATAATTTTAATTTAAATAATACCCATATTCATAATTCCTTACTTCTGTGGGAGTTGAAGCTGCAATGAAGAATTTTATTAGTATATTTTCTGTTTGATTTGGTTTTGAAACTTAACCTAAATGATGACTATATATATTTTCTTTTTTTGTATTTGGTGGTAAGGATCAAGGACTAGTACATTGAGTGTCAAATCCATTCAAGATATTGTTTTCAAAAAATGTTGCACTTGCTTTTATTTATGTATGCCATTGTTTTGGTGGCTCATGAAATGGAATGCTTATTAATGCTTGTGAATGTTTTGATTCGAGTCAAGGCTTGCATGTCCTCATTTAATATTGATTGACCCATCATTGGCCTATCTTGAAAGTGTATTGTGGAAGGCATAATAAAAGTAAAGAGGGTAAAATAGGAAATGAGGTTTAGAGCAATGTTTTGAATTCTGTTATTCTGAATAACAACATAATGGACATGTGACAGCAAGAGACAGGGAGGGAAGATATGGGAATCAGTGGGGAGCATGAATATGAGGGGGAGGATGGACATGGAGGAGGGTAGGCAATCATTTGGGAATTGATGGGTGGTTGTTGCCCCAGGGCAGAGATTATTTTCTGAGTTTTTCTTTATGATTTATCCCTATTTCACCATGCTGTTATATGCTGAATGAAGGCTGGTTCCTTGATTTCCACCATAATTCTATAATAATTTCAGTTCCTATCAAATGTTCTAAGAAATTATGCATCCTTTATGCAAGTGCGTGTCCATAAAAGTTGGACTAATTGGATCCTCAAGAGAATGCAGATAGACATCACTGTAAATGCCAATGCCATTGCTTTCCATTGCACATCTTCTAGTTACAAAGTAGTAACAAGCTATCAGTAATTGCTATGCCCATCAATTACAAGTTGATGACAGCAGGTTGTGAACTCAGTCAAAAAATAATTTGGTGATGAGTTGAAATCAGGGAGAGTGTGATATTGTGGTGGAAAAATCATAGCTGAGAATCTATTCTGTGATTCTTGGCACTCAGCTTTACAATTAAAGAGTATTTTCATAAAGCTGCTATATTTATTTATTTTTATTTGGTGGGGAGGGGGGAGTAAATGCACAAAATCATTGCGTGACACCACTTCTCGGATCTGTTATTTAAGATTCTGAGTGAAATTATTTTTTAATTGTCTACTATAAAACACTTCATAAATGTATGCACAGGCAAATTTGATAAAACTAAGAAACATTAAGCAGCTTCTCATTAATGGTACTCTTTGAGAGGATATAATTCTTCTTGCAACAGTTGTTTCAGAAGATACTAAGATAGCCAAACAAGGCCCCATGACATTGTAAAATCAATTCTCAAAATAATAACAATTAGCCAAACTATACATTTGTCGTTTACTGTCTTACCATGAGAATACACTCACAGTCACCTGGCTACAGTTTGGTGTGCCATCATCAGCATCAGTAACCAGAAGGTCGAACAACAATTGTTATGAAATTTAGGTTGATTTTATCCAATAAAAAAGGCATTAATGATTTGCTGGAGTCCATATATTAACCAAATTCAAATGTGCGATAGAGCTAGATCTTCAACACCTGAAATAAATTTAAAATACAAGCTGAATATCTCCCAATATGCTGAAACATTTTTACCCGTGAAGAATATTGTCATAACCTTTTTTACCATTCTTGAGATGTTATTTACAGCTCTATTGAGACATGGGCATGATACCAATGTTTTCAAATAACCATTATTGTAACGGAATAGTGGAATGGTCTTTAGCCAAATCGCCATTTTCCATCCATTATTTGATGTTTTATGGCTGCGTCCACCATATTCACCATGGTGCCTGCCATGGCCGTTGCTTTGTAAAGGTTTAGAATGGTCATGACAGATATGGTATTTTCTTTTTTTGACCCTGGCCCAACCTGTTTTAAAGAAAACCCCGAACACTTCTGCCCTGAATGCGAAATGTTGTTGCTTTCAACACTGAGCATTGCTGCTATCTTAGGGTTGTTGTTGCTCTCAACACTGAGCATTGCTGCTATCTTAGGGTTCTCGGAACCTTTGTTCAACTCTGACAACCTGAATTGTGGTGGCCCTCACTCTTGCAAACAACTTTAGAGTGAGGTTCAAAACAGGTTCTTGTTTTCTTTTTAAGTTTTTTTATTCCTTTTCTTTTTACTACTTCTTCCTTATTTGTTCAATGATTCTTCATCTGTTTTGATTCATTTGAGTTCTTGTTCTTCATTTTTTATTCTTCTATTGTTCATCTAATCTTCATCTATTAGGTCCGGTTTGAGTTCCTATTTTGTTCGAACATTGAAGATTATTTTTTGTTCCTTATCTTTTATTCCATTTTGTTATGTTATATATACATATGTATGTATTATCATTTTTTGTCTACTATATGCCACCATGCTGTCTGCCATATGTTTATGGGAGATTTTCGGCTCACCATATAAACTATTATTTATCAACAACCTTGCATGATACTTACCATGTTAGCAATAACAAGTTGTTCCTCTTCATCAGAGCTTGATCTTCATTCAAGATTTGTATGCCCCTTTATTCTAGTTCTGAATTGTATTTTGCATTTAATATTACAATGCATGAGGATCGATGTGCATTTTTTTAATTAACTTAGAGGAAAATGTTACCTTTTTTTTTTTTTTTTTTTTCAACACATTCAAACATAAGTAAGTTAATCCAAAAACACGATATATCTATTTCTAGTATACAAAATCAAGGGTTGGTATGTAGCTTAGCATATTTCTCTAGAATTTCCACTAATCACAGAGGATAGAAAGTTGTATTGTTGGTAGTTTGATCCTTTCCTTCTGTATTTTGCTGAGAAAAGGTGCTTTGTATGAGCAAAAAAGGTAGGGGTACAAACATGTCTGTGTTGAAGCAGTTCTCAAAAAGTTTTGAAATAGTTTAAAAGCTCCGTTTGTCTTTAAATGGGATGTTAACTTCCCTTTCTGCTTTCATTTAATCTGGCTATTGAAATCTCTTGGTTGGTTTTATGTTTATCAATGTTATGTGGCTTGAATTTTCAGAAACTACTACAGATGCACTTTTTCTGGATGTCCTGTTCGGAAGCACGTTGAGACTGCTGTGGATAACTCAAAAGCTCCCATGGTAACATACAAGGGATTACATGATCATGATAAGCCTGTGCCAAAGAAACGGCATGGTCCATCAAGTGCTTCGCATGTGGCTGCTGCAGTACCTGCTTCAACGAACAATTTGGAGAGCAGAAAAACTGGCTTGCTACAAAACCAGGAAACTTCTGAATGCTCAGAGGAAACAGAAGGAGAATTAACTGGCGAAGCGTTGGACCTTGGGGGTGAGAAAGCAATTGAGTCAGCTCGAGCTCTTCTAAGCATAGGCTATGAAATTAAACCTTTTTGAATACATCTTTCTAAAATCATGCAGTTGTATCCATATAAATTATTTGGTAGGTCTCATGTAATTTTTATCTTCTCTTTTTTAATTTTTCCCCCATTTAGTCTTTTGGTAGAGCCGTACATGTATATTTTCTTGTGGACGTTCAGCAGCTTGTCTGAAACAGCTTGCTTAGTGGAGCGAATATAGAATTGAGCGGTATCTTTTTCTCACGGAGAGTGAGAATAGGTGAGGATAGCATTCTCATTCAATTGCACTCTTAATACATTGTTTAGTGTAAATAGAAAGGAGGCAGATAATAATGATATAATGGAAATATAGTATTTATGTTGTTTATTTGTGAGGAAAAATAATGAAGGGAAGTTTTTTTTTTTTTTTTTTTGGGAATTGCCGGAATAAAAAAGAAACATTTCTTCAAATCGTTATAAAATAAGAGGGGGGAAAATAAGATAAAAGTTTATCATAAAATAAGAAGGAAATAAATAACTTTGTCAAGAAAATAATAAAATAAAAGGTTTTTTTTAAGTGAAATTTGATGGACTAATGAATTGTCTAAGCCTTTTATATGAATTACGCCTAACAAGAAGAAATGAAGATCAAAATAAATCTATAAAAAATTGCCTTCTACATAGGCTTAAAATTGAACAAATATAACACTTAATAAATATGTTAATGTTTACGTCCAACATGCAAAGAGTAGCATAAGTTTCTTCAAGTGTTTACAAATTTAACGTTTATTTGAATGTCTACGTGCCATAAAACAAATATAAAAGCATTAAAAATAGTCGTTGATAAGGGATATAATATGTGTTCATAATAAATACATAATATGTTATATTTTTTCTTTTGTGTATGTTTGTAGAATGGCACAACTATTGCTACAAAATTTTGACTTGGCTAACAGATGATTTAGATCTCCGTTTGAAAATTTCATCACTTTCAGATTGTCCAAAGATTGGACTAATCTTTCATCTGATGGTTTTAAAAATGGTTTGAAGGAGTCACCACTGATATTTTGTACAAAACATCTGAAAAAGAAATAGTTTTCGCAAATTCAACTTTGGCCTTCACAGCCAGAGCTGGGTTCGGGGTTTGGTTACGTGTGGGGAAGGTGTTAGGTCCCCACAACGCCTGAATTCAGAACCTTTGACAATTTTAGCATTATGACAACATGATTAAGTTTTACCCTTATTTATTAAGCATACAACAATTTATTTACCTACATTATTCCTACTCTACTACATACACATCACTTTATTATCTACATGATACCTAATGATGGAAGACCTCCTAGCATTGATGGAAGAAGGATGATCAATGAGAGGACTCTTAGACTCCACGGATCTTAGTTCTTCAAAGGCCTAGCCTTGGATGGTGGTGGTGACCGAAAATAGAGGAAGGATAGAAGGTGTTTGATGGAATGCTTGAGAGGTACTCTAGGGTTTAGCTCACTCCAAGGTAGATGAAGGCTACTCCTAGGATTTTTACTCAAGGTAGAGATAGGTAGGGTTCTTGGCCGAAAATGACCAAGAGAGACTAAGGAAAATATAAAGGCACAAAAGGCTCACTCTATATTAATTTTCAAAGTATTTACAAGGAGGCTAGCCTAGGGTATTTATAGAAGGGAGGATGCATTTAGGGTTACATTTGAGAGTGCATGGCCAAGTAATGCAATCCAAATGCACTTCAAATGAAACCTAAATTAACCCTAGATGCTACTTGGTGGAAAAGGATGAAATCTTTGGGTTTGGTTAAGCTACATCTAGGTGCATGATAAGACCATGCAACCTAGGTGCCCTCCACTTGCACCTAAGTCTTACCAAGTTCAAAAATAAATCCAATGCCACCAAAAAAACATGTGTAGGCCTAGTTTCCAACCTTAATAAAATATCCTAGCTATAAAATAAAATCCTATAATCTAAGACACCCCATAATACAAGGGTAAAATAGAAAATACAAGTAAAAATAAATCCTTTAATTAAGACCCCAAAATACAAGGGTAAAATAGGAAATACAAGAAAAATAAATCCTGTCTAAGGTACCCAAAATACAAGGTTAAAATAGGAAATTAAAGACAAGGGAAAAAAATAAGAATAAATCCTATACTAATAAAAATTTAGGAGCTAAGGCCCAAAAGTAGTCCCACTCCTCTTATGGTTTTCAAAACTAACCCATTCCTTTTGCCTCCTTCAATATATCACCTCTTGGTCTTCTTGGCCTTAGTGTGATTCCATCACCTAATCTAAGCATACAAATAAAGCAATAAATAGGGAGAAAAGAGATTGAAACCTTTGAAGCAAGCCTTTTATATATCTTCTCATAAAGTTGTACAAGAGCTCTTTTTGGCAGACTTCGCACTCCACAAGAACCTTACTATTGCTTAAAAGTTTAGACTAGGGAAACTCCAAAATCTTTGCCAAAAGGACTAAAGATCTCTTAATCAAGCACTGCAATGAGTTTATTTCATTCAGTGTGACCTGAAGAGAGTCAGAGAGGGGGGGGGGGGGGGGGAGAGAATCAAGTGTGTGTCAAGAGTGGACCCCTGACACACTTTTATAGGCGTCTAGGGAAGGGGAATGACCGTTTCCAATTTGGAACAACCGTTCCACGCCTATGATTTGAACTAAGAAGTGCCAACGACTATTCTAGGCCAAGCAAGCTGTGAAAGGGGAACGACTGTTCTGCTTTTAAGAACGGTGGTTCAAAGCTTAGGGCTAGGGTTTTGACCCTTTTTGATGCAGAAGAGCCTCCCAAATGTCCCACGCTCCATCTTGGTGTGCTCTTGTGTTTTCCTTGGTTTCAAGGGGTTTCTTCTCTCAACTCAGAAGCTTCCTAAGCCTTTGTAGATAAAGCTCATACAAAACCTAATGTTTACAACTATCCTTTTTTACTTGCCATTTGGATAACAAGACACTGCGATTGCATTTTTCAAAGGCAAGTAAAGATGTAGACAATTTATCCGAATTTTAACCTAATGTCTATAGAAGATTTGTGCCTAACTTCTCCACACTTGCCTCCCTACTAAATGACCTAGTTAAGAAAAATGTTGAATTTCAATGGGGAAAAAAACAAGAACAAGCCTTCCTAATTTTAAAGGATAAGCTCATTCATACACCACTTTCAGCTCTACCCAATTTTTCAAATACTTTTGAGCTAGAGTGTGATGCCTTTGGGGTTGGCATAGGGGCGATTTTGTTGCAAGGTGGGCATCCAATTGCTTATTTCGGTGAAAAATTAAAAGGTGTTTCACTCAACTATCCCACCTATGACAAAAAGCTACATGCTTTAATTAGGGCCCTTCAAACTTGGGAACATTATCTTGTTGCTAAGGAGTTTGTTATTCATAGTGACCATGAGTTACTAAAGTATTTGAGGTGATAAGGAAAATTGAATAAGAGGCATGCAAAATGGGTTGATTTTTTGGAACAATTCACGTATGTGATCAAGTATAAGAAAGGTAAAACTAATACTGTTGCTGATGCTCTATCAAGGAGACACACTTTACTTGTTTCTCTTTGATCCCAAATCTTAGGCTTTGATCACATTAGTGTAGAAACCTAATTTCATCCGGGGGCACACAAACAAAGAAATGGACATTGAACATGAAGAAAAGGAGCTCCTGGAAGCCCAGAAATGACACGATATGACATTAGAAGGCCCAAAACCCAACAATGGTGATTTAGTAGCCTAGAATGGGTCGTTTCCAATCTAGAATGGGTCGTTCCAAACACCTAAAAATGGCTTAGAAATTTTATGTCAAAATGGGCCGTTCCCAATTTGGAACGGGCCGTTTCGACACAGTTTGTTATGAGCAAAATTCAAATATGAAACAAGTTGTTCCGATTTCTGAATGGGCCGTTCCAGTTTCAAATTTTGGCCTTAACAAACTGGCCTAGAACGGGCCATTCTGAAACTAGAACAGGCCATTCTGGTTAGATCTGACGTTTATAAATACTGGAGTTGGGCACTGCTCCCGGGGGTCAGAAAAATTCATCTAGAAAGTCTTAGATAGCTCGAAAATACTCTTTCTCCCTCCTCTTGTATTTCTTGAGATTTTTGTGAGGCATATTGAAGTGTGTAAGGTATCCAAAAAGCACCTAAAGAGTTTCCATATTTGAAGATCCAATAAAGCTTGATTAAGAGGTATTTAAGTCAATATTCTTCTCTCTTTCCTATTTTCTCATCTTAATAGATATTATTCTAAATAAAAAGAGTGATCATGTAGACGTTTTAGGACAAATCGTGTAATTTAAATTTCATGTATATAAATAATCATCAATAAAAGGGATCTAATATTTAAACTATCAATTCTTATTATGTTAGCTTCGTCATAGGGTACCGATTTAGGGCACTGTAGGGGTGCTTAATACCTTCCTTACACGTAACCGACCCTCGAACTCAATTCTGGTTATCTATTAAGGCCATTATTGGATTTTCAATAATCTTTTCTTTTTCTAATATTTTGAGTAAAACATTGGTGGTGACTCCATGAACCTATTTTCAAAACCATTATTTGAGGATTAGTCTAGTATCCGGGCATTCCTTAATTAATGAGATTTTTCAAAAAGGTAGTCCAAACCATTGGTCATAAGATCAAAATTTTTCAGTTACGACAGATGGAGACTCCACAGGGGATGTTTAAAGAGGGTCAGGCCCAAATAAATGATGAAGTTAGCAAAAAAAGAATAATAGTTTAAATATCTTTTCCTCTTTTACTTTGTTTGACTTTGATATCTGTATGTTTGTATAAATTTTGCACCTATTTGAATTAAACAACTGTACACAAATCCTTGCACACAACAGTTCCCTCTACACCCGGGGGCATGAGCATGTAAACATAGGGAGTGGTTGACATACGACCAGCCCAAGAACGACCTTAAAGCCTACAAGCCTTGTTAAAGTTCACACTGAAGATGATAATCAGTTACTCTAGCCTAAAATACTGTGACAAACCCTAGAGTTTGCCAGGTAACGGCAACAGAGGTACTAGGTCCCTATAATGGGGGCACCTTGGGAGCCTATAAAGACCAGTGAGATTAGAACCATCCTATACAATGCACTTTTCTTGACAAGGACCACAAACCAAGAATTTGGACGTGATTGTTCGTGAGTTACGTTGTATGAGCATATGTTTGTTGCATTTTGTTTATTCAATCTGTTTGTTTATTTTTTATAATTTCCTTAAGGTAAAGAAAAACAAAAAATAAAAAAATGCATTATCATGAGAGAAAACCTAGTTAGAAAATAAAATCTGTGAGAAACATGCATCCCTTCATTAAGGTAGTAGACAAAATCCCTACCACATATGCA